TCAAACGTGATTGGCCTTCCATTTATTCCCAGTTGATGCTTTTAATCCTACAGGGGGATTTTGTACGGATAATATTCCGAGATAGGCAACTAGAAGTACAGGCAGAAAAAACCGTGGCTACACGAGATGGCGACGAAGACACTGTGCTAGTCGTGCCCCTGGGGGCTGTAAGTGCGGCTGCGTGAAAACCAGCGTACAGTGCCTCAGCTCAATTTCGATGAATTAATGGCATCTTCTCGTTTTGATGCATCGTTTCGCGATAATTTGTCAGTGCAATTTCAGTCGAATTTGTGAAATCTTTCGGCCTTACGCTACCCCAAGCTTACTCTACGGGTGAGACCACACGTTTGAAAAGAAAATGGGTTTGTTGCTGCTTTACTTGGCGTCGCCTGGAAGTATGAAGGGCGCAGGACTTGCTCTAGGAATATCTAAGTCACACACAGTTTCTATAATTAATGCATTGCTTCCAATTATTTGTGAGCGGGCTGATCATTTTATTATGCTACCGTCTACAGAGATGGAGCTGAAAGATATTATGAAAGGTTTCGTCAGCGTTCGTGGATATCCATACGTCTGTGGAGCTGTAGATAGTTCACTTTTTGTAATAGCTCGACCTGCCGACTTTGATGGGTGGTATTGCAAAGATTTTTACCCTGCAATTAACATGCAGGTGGTCTGTGACCAACGTCGGCGTTTCATGGACTATGGTATGCGTCCAAGATCTTATAGCGATAAAAAGACATGGAAAGTGTCAAAACTGGACAATACAATTCAAAATGTAATTCCTCGTGGGTGCCATCGACTTAGTGACGCTGGTTTCACTCTCAGTTGTGAACTATTAACACCATATATCCCTCGAGAAGAAGGTGCCTAGCTTTCTCGAAAGCAAGAACGCTATAATTATTTTCACATGGCCACTAGAATGGCAATTGTGTGTGCTTTCGGAATGCTAAAGCAGCGATTTCGTCTCATCAGACGGCAGTTTGAGCAGAAACCTGTTGTTAGCAGTACGAGATGCATTTAGCAGCTATGATTAATATTCTCATCGATCTTAATGACGACACTATAAATTCCAACGCGCAAGACACACCAAGCGAAAATATTGTGAAAATTGTGTCGAATTCCGACAGACGTGATATATTCAGGACGAAACGTGATGAGCTAGCTAATCGTTTTACTCCCTAATCAAGTATACGTTTTTACTCTATTATTTCTGTCCTAGCGTGCGTATGCGCTCGTTGACAGCGGCAGTCTGCTGTTTGAGAGCTTCTTCTCGGCGGGTAAACGAGGCTACCACCTCACGAGTAGGTAGAGTGTACCTACTGATTTGATTCCGTCTGCCAACACACGTAGCCCGATCATTTAAAGACACAATATTTAAACATACTACCTCCGTCCCACAAGTCATTTAACATTTCCCTAAACGTTGGCTTATTCACATTACACGCGCTTAAAAAACAGAAGAAGACATGGATAAGCAAGTCCGCGGTATGTACTTCAGTGACTATATGTATCGCACTCTGAACGCTTCTGCTTATCAAGATAACATCGCTCGATTAAGGCGCATTATGAGAAGTTGTACAGAAAC